AGGGGAATGCAATCTAATGTTTAGAAGCTCAGGCTCCACAGTCAGAAAACCTGGGTTCAAATTGTGGCCCCTCAGCCTTCTAACTATGCAAGATACTTAGCCTCCACTTTCTTTCCTCATCTATAAAATGAGGATAAAGGCTGGGCGCAGTGGCTCACACCTATAATCCCAGCACTTTGGGAGTCTGAGGCAGGTGGATCACCTGAGGTCAGGAGTTCGAGACCAGCCTGGCCAACATGGCAAAACCCCATCTCTACTAAAAATAGAAAAATTAGTTGGGCATGGTGGCACACGCCTGTAGTCCCAGCTACTTGGGAGGCTGGGGCAGGAGAATCGCTTGAACCTGGGTGGAGGTTGCAGTGAGCCGAGATCATGACACTGCATGCCAGCCTGAGTGACAGAGTGATGCTCTGTCTCAAAATAAGATGAATACTACTACTTGCCTCATGAAGACTAAATTCGGTAATTTATATGAAAGGCTTACAGTACTGGACACATAGTATAGCTCAATACGCTGACGCTATAATTGTTACCTTTTGGTAATTTGAGGTAGACATTCTCACCACATGTGAACCCTGAAATCTGACGGACCTCAATCCTTGAAATCTGTCTGCATCATTGATCTCTTTCTTGGAGAGTCTCTTTCTACCAAAAGGGGTAACCGGGGGGACAGCAAGAAGAGAACACAGGGTGGGCATTTTCTGCCTCTGTTGGGTGGTCAGCTGGTTCTCCACCCTGGTGTGCCACCTCTGTATTAGGGAGAGGAAAGCCTAGGGATTGCATTTCCCAGGATGCCAACTGGGAGCATTCCAGCTTAGACTGGGCCACTGAGAGGCACTTGGGTGATATTTGGAAGATGAAGAGATGCAAGCCAGCTTGCTGTCCGCCCCTTCAACAGTGCCGAACACAGCAAGCATGTGTTTGCCTTGGCATCTGAGCATTTCCCACTTTGGTACTGCAGGCAAATGTGACCCTGGCAATAGTTTCTGCAGGTTATGAAACTTCTTGTTTTTCCTGTAGCTGGTGAGCAATGAATGGCTTTCCTGAACCTTTGCACCTCTACCATTCCAGTGATTTTGTAAACCCTAATTCCTAGATCCCTAAATCTCTTCTTGCTTGGAAAAAGAACAAAACTGGAGGAGTCATATTATCTAACTTCAAATTATACTACAGAGCTATAGTAACCAAAACAGCATGGTACTGGGATAAAAAAGAACACATAGACCAATGGAACAAAGCAGAGAACCCAGAAGCAAATCTACACACCTACAGTGGACTCATTTTTGACAAAGGTGTCAAGAACATACACTGGGGAAAAGACAGTCTCTTCAATAGATGGTGCTGGGAAAACTGGATATCCATATGCAGAAGAATGAAACTAGACCCCTATCTCTCACCATATACAAAAATCAAGTTGAAATAGATTAAAGAGTTAAGACCTCAAACTGTTACAGGAAAGGAATCTTGATCCAGACCCCAAGAGAGGGTTCTTGGATTTCGTGCAAGAAAGAATTCAGGGTGAGTCCGTAAAGTGAAAGCAAGTTTATTAAGAAAGCGAAGAAATAAAAGAATGGCTCCTCCACAGACAGAGCAGCCCCGAGGGCTGCTGGTTGCCCATTTTTATGATTATTTCTTGATGATATGCTAAACAAGGGGTGGGTTATTCATGCCTCCCCTTTTTAAACCATACAGGGTAACTTCCTGACGTTGCCATGGCATTTGTAAACTGTCATTGTGCTGGCGGGAGTGTAGCCGTGAGGATGCCCAGAGGTCACTCTCGTGGCCATCTTGGTTTTGGTGGGTTTGGGCTGGCTTTTCTACTGCCACCTGTTTTATCAGCAAGGTCTTTATGACCTGTATCTTGTGCTGACCTCCTATGTCATTCTGTGACTTGGAATGCCTTAACCATCTGGGAATGCAGCCCAGTACGTCTCAGCTTCAGGTTACCCAGCTCCTTTTAAGATAGAGCTGCTCTGCTTCAAATGCCTCTGACAAAACTAAGAAACTGCTACAAGAAAACATTGGGGAAGATCTCCAGGACATTGGTCTGAGCAAAAATGTTTTGAGCAATACCCCACAAGCACAGGCAAACAAAGCAAAAATGGACAAATGGGATCACGTCACGCAAAAAAGCTCCTGCACAGCAAAGGAAACAATCAACAGAGATGGGACAACCCACAGAATGGGAGAAAATGTTTACAAACTACCCATCTGGCAAGGGATTAATAACCAGAATATATAAGGAGCTCAAACAACTCCATAGGAAAAAGTATAATAATCTGATCGAAAAATGGGCAAAAGATTTGAACAGACATTTCTCAAAGGAAGACATAAAAATGGCAAACAGGCAGATGAAAAGATGCTCAATGTCATGATCATCAGAGAAATGCAAATCAAAACTGCAATGAGACACGATGTCACCCCAGTTAAAACGGCTTCCATCCAAAACACAGGCACAAATGCTGGTGAGAAGGTGGAGAAAAGGGAACCCTGCACACTGTTGATGGGAATGTAAACTAGTACAACCCCTACGGAGAACAGTTTGGAGGTTCCTCAAAAAACTAAAAATTGAGCTACCGTGTGATCCAGCAATCCCATGGCTGAGTAAATGCTCACAAGAAAGGAACTCAGCATATCGAAGGGATGTCTGCACTGCTGTGTTTGTTGCAGCACTGTTTATAATAGCCAAAATTAAGGGTTCATGAACAGACGAATGGATAAAGAAAATATAGTAGATATGCACAATGGAGTACTATTCAGCCATGAAAAAGAATGAGATCCTGTCATTTGCAATAACATGGATGGAACTGGAGATCACTATATTTAGTGAAATAAGCCAGGCTCAGAAACACAAACATCACGTATTCTCAAGTTAAAGTACAGGTATTGATCGACTTACCACCTATGCAACTTACGACCATTCGACTTTACGACCACAATCGCTAGCCACGACTGCTCCGCGTCTGGCAGTGCAAACGTTGCCCAGCTGGGCATACGACACTGCGGACCAGCTTCCGGCAGCACTACCATCTCTGCGTGTACCATTTCAATTGTACATATAGCCTACTCAACTTACGACCAAATCGTGTTATGTCCGGTCCACGGTTCCCGACCGTGGTCGTAGGTCGAGCACTAGCTGTAATAGAACCCACAGACATGGAGAGTAGAAGAATGGTTGCCAAAGGCTGGGAAGGGGAGTGAGGGGGTGGGGATGGTCACGGGTTAAAAAAATAGTCAGAAGAAGCCCTGCTATTTGACAGCACAACAGGGTGACTATAGTCAATAATAACTGACTGGTTTTTTTTGAGGAGTCTTGCTCTGTCGCCAGGCTGGAGTGCAGTGGCACGATCTCGGCTCACTGCAACCTCTGCCTCCTGGTAAAGCGATTCTTCTGCCTCAGCCTCCTAAGTAGTTGGGACTACAGGCACCTGCCACCATGCCTGGCTAGTTTTTTATATTTTTAGTAGAGAAGGAGTTTTACCATGTTGGCCAGAGTGGTCTCAATCTCCTGACTGATCCCCCCGCCTCAGTCTCTGAAAGTGCTGGGGTTACAGGCGTGAGCCGCCACGCCTGGCCTTAACTGTACATTTTTAAATAACTTAAAGAGAGTAACTGGGTTGTTTGTAACTCAGAGGACAAATGCCTGAGGGGATGGACATCCCATTCTCTGTGATGTGCTCATGTCACATCGCATTCCTCTACCAAACATCTCAGGTACCCCATCAGTATAGATACATACTGTGTACCTACAAAAATTAAAAAGAAAAACCACACAGAAGAATCTCTCTTGCTTGAAATCCCTGGAGTGGCTTCTGTCTTTCTGATGGATTCATTGCCTGAAGAAACAGAAGTCCCATCATACCCATTCAACAACTATACTGAGTGCCGAAGAGCAAGGCACTGCTCTGGGTATTAGAATACAGCAGCAAACCAAACAGAAAGAGACCTGCCCTCCTGGAACTTACATTCTGGTGGAAATAAATGAATAAACGAACAAATAGGAATTGATAAGGGCAGGGCAAGTAGAATAGATACTGGGGGGGGGGGCAAGGGGTATCCTTATTTCCTAGGGTATTTGGGGAAGGTTCATTGCTAAGATGAAATCTGAGCTGGGACCTGAGGGAGGTGAGAGCCCGGGGCAGGAGGATGTGTGGACAGAGCAGAGGGGATGCCGGGAACAAAGGCCCCGAGGCGGGAGCGCCCTCAGCGTGGTGGCTACGTGAGGAACAGCATAGTCAACCCGCCACGGTGGCTGCATGGTCAGAGGAGAGCAGTAAGCGGTGACGGCAGAGGGACACTCAGAGCCAGCCTGGACAGCCCCGGGGGCATGGTAAGGGCTTGGCTTTTACTCCAGGTAAGAGGCCACATGGAGGCTTCTGAGCAGAGCAGTGACACATCTGATTAGTCAGATCACCATGACTACATGCTGGGAACAGAGTTACAGTGCCCAGGGCAGAAGAAAGACCAGGAAGGACATCGTTGCAATAATCTAGGTGACACTGACAGCCTGGACCAGGCCAGTAGTCATGGAGGAGGAGTGCTGGAGACAGATGACATAGACAGAGATGATACAGATGGATGGATGGATAGATATAGATGATAGAGATAAATAAATCTTGTGTGGGTTTTTTGTGGTTTTTTTTTGAGAGTCTCTCTCTGTCACCCAGGCTGGAGTGCAGTGGTGCAATCTCAGCTCACTACAACCTCTGCCTCCCGGGTTCAAGTGATTCTCCTGCCTCAGCCTCCCAAGTGGCTGGGACTACAGGTGCACACCACCACACCTGACTAATTTGTGTGTGTGTGTGTGTGTGTGTGTGTGTGTGTGTGTGTGTGTGTATTTTTAGTAGAGACAGGGTTTCAACATGTTAGCCAGGCTGGTCCTGAACTCCTGACCTACTGATCCGCCTGCCTCAGCCTCCCAAAGGGCTGGAATTACAGGCATGAGCCACTGCACCGGGTCTGTGGGTGTACTGTTTAAATTGTGATAAAGTACATATAACACACTTTCCTGGTAGCGGAGATACGCTGATCATGAAGATGGTTTTCCCAGGGTGAGGCTCACCCACTGCACTGCAAGTGTGCTGACCCCTGCGATTTCCCCAGATGCAGGAAACACAACTGCATACTTCGTGGTAGAGGGGACTTCGTTCATGCTTCCCCTGTGTCACTCTTTGTCCAATGAGCGGTCACAACTTGAAGTTGGTGGTCTTTATTGTACAATGTATTTATTACCAAAAAAGCATATAACAAAATGTAGCATCCTAAGCACTTCCAGTGTGCACTTGAGTGGTACTACATACCTTCACGCGGTCTGCGCCCACCGCTCCATCCACCTCCAGAACTCACTTCATCCTGCAGAGCTGAAACCTTGCACCCCTGGAGCAGTAGCCCTCCCATCTTCTCCTCCCCAGAGCCCCTGGCACCCACGTTCTAAATCCCGTCTCTGTGAATCTGACTCCCCTAGGTACTTCGGATAAGTGGAACCATAGAGTCTTTGTCCTTTGGGGACTGTCTTATGCCATTCACATCAAGTCCTCAAGGTTCATCCAGGCTGGCAGGTCGTATTTTGAAGGTAGGATTTGGCGCATTGGATGAGGAGGGAGAAGGAGAAAGAAGGGAGGCAAGGATGATTTCAAGGCTTGGGGCCTGGGCAGGGAATGCTCACCAGGAAGTGGTGCTAATACAAGAGTCCGTGGGATGCCCAGCTTCCCGCCTCTTCTGTCTCTGCCACGCCCACACCACCGCCCCTGCTCTCAGTGGGCAGAAGAGTCTTCAGGCCTTGCTGCAGCTCACATGTCCACAAGGGATGCTAAAACATGTACATCTTTCCGTCACCCAAATGAAGGCAATGAGGGAGCCGTGGATATTCATCCTCCCCTCTGCCCCTGTCAGTAACACAGAAGGCAACTGAGGGAGGATGTCAGAGAACAGATGAGCGTCTCAAGCATGATGCGTGCACCTCGAGATCAGCAGAGCAGTAGGAACTCCTGTGAGGTGAGGCTGAGACAGTCACACACATCATCTCCAGCTAAACAGGGAGTGAACATCCAGCTGGAAAAGCGTCTCACGCACCCAGCGCCCCCGCCCCGCACAGTGCAGTCCCCGCCTCTTCCTTCCTCTTCCCACAGCCATCGCCCTTGATCAGCCTCAGTGCCGCATAACTGGGGTGATGGCAGTAGTGTCCCATGGAACTTGTCCCATCCCCATTCACTCTTTATTTATTTATTTATTTTTTGATGTGGAGTCTCACTCTGTCATCCAGGCTGGAGTGCAGTGGCATGATCTCAGCTCACTGCAGCCTCCGCCTCCCACGTTCATGAGATTCTCCTGCCTTGGCCTCCCAGGGAGCTAGGATTACAAGTACACACCATCGTGCCCGTCTAATTTTTGTATTTTTAGTAGAGACAGGGTTTCACCATGTTGGCCAGGCTGGTCTCGAACTCCTGACCTCAGGTGATCTGCACGCCTCAGCCTCCCAAAGTGCTGGGATTACAGGCGAGACACTGCACCCCGGCCTCTGTTAAGTCTTACCAGGAGCTGCAGATGAATCTTTCCTGGGGCGCAGCTTAGCGGGCCATTCCCTGCTCAGAGCTTTAACTGTTCTCATTGTCTAGGGCATCAGTTCCAGGGTAGGAGGGATGCCCAGGGGCACATGAGGTGTTTTGGAGGAGCTCTCTCCAACTACATCCAGCCCCTGGAGATTCTCGGTGAGCTGGACCTTCTCTCCCAAAATCAGAACCATGGGTCTGCAGCACTGACTCTGCACGGCCTTCAAGGGCCCCTGGAGCCAGCCCCAACATACCTACTGTGCTTAATCTCCACAGCTCCTGTCTACAGACTAGAACTTCCAACCAAACTGAACTGCTAATTACTCCCTGGTGAGCTCGCCCCCGCCCACCTCTGTGTCTGCCTTCACCTAGAATGGCCTCCCTTTTCTCACCACATACTCATTCAGATCCTTCCTCCTACAGTGCCCAGCTCCAATGCGACCTCCTCCAGGAAGCCCTCTCTGATATCTCCAACAGGGTGCACTATCTTCTTCCCCAAATCCCCACAGCCAACTCGTGTGGGCTCCTTTCTTGATTTCCTATAAAATCCTTCCCTCCTATCAGACCAGGAACCCTCTGAGGATGCCATTCTGCCGTGTCCCTCTTGGTTCCACTCACAGGGACTGACACGTGTCTTTTAGGCCTCAGAGTTTGTTAAATCAACAAAAAAATGGGACAATTATTTATTTTAGTCAAATATTCAACTTAAACATCATTCAGCGTGGGCACTCCTGAAAATATCAGAATCATCTTGGCCCCCTCGCTGTCTGCTGTTTGCCTGCTGCATGGTACAGCTACTCACACACACACTGCGCGTCAGCCAGATGACCACGGAAAAGCACATCCCCGCGTCTGTTGTGCGTTTCCACTCACTTTCGGGTTCTCGATTGCCCTGTGTTTCCTCTTTCATATGTTCTCATTGACCCATTCATTTTCCTTTTTTTTGCAAAACAAAACAGAAAGCAAGAAAAGAACTCTACATTTTATCCAATAGTCCTAAGAAATTTTCCCTGTAGAGAATGGCGTTTAAGTCAAAACAAGGGTTGAATACGGGCACCCAATCAGTTCATCACTTAGGGCTGCAGTAAGAAATGCCAAAGGCCAGTGTGGTGGCTCACGCCTATAATCCCAACACTTTGGGACGCCAAGGCGGGAGGATCACGAGGTCAGGAGTTCAAGATCACCCTGGCCAACATGGTGAAACACTGTCTCTACTAAAAATACTGTACAACAATTAGCTGGCCATGGTGACACACACCTGTAATCCCAGCTACATAGGAGGCTGAGGCAGGAAAATCGTTTGAACCCAGGAGGAGGAGGCTGCAGTGAGCCGAGATTGCACCGCTGCACTCCAGCCTGGGCAACAGAGCAAGATTCCATCTCAAAAAAAAAAAAAAAAAAACTCAAAAAAAAAAAAAAAGAAAGAAAGAAATGCCACAGACTGGGTGGCTTCAACAACAAACATTTGTCCCCCGCAGTCGAGGCTGGACACCCACCATCAAGACGCTAGCACGGTCAGTTCTGGTGAGAACCTGCTTCTGGGTTGAAGACCATGACCTTTTCCCCATATCCTCACATGGTGGAAAGAGCTAGCTGGGTCTCCAGCCTCTTCTTATAAAGGCACTAATCCCATCCATGAGGGCTCCACTCTCACAGCCTACCCACCTCCCAAAGGCCCCACCTCCAAATACTGTCAGTGGAATTAGGAGTTCAGCATAGGAATTCCGGGGGGGCACATTCAGTCCATGGGCCCCCTGTACCTGTGAATGTGATCTGACTTGGAAACTGGGTTTTGTAGATGAAATTAAGTTGAGGATCTCGAGTTAAGATCATCCTGGACTTAGGGTGGGCCCTAACTCCAGTGACCAGTGTCCTTAAGAGAAAGAAGGGGGAGACTGGAGATGCACAGACACCGAGGAGACATGCGGGAGGAAAGGTCCATGAAGGCAGAGGCAGGGACTGGAGGGACGCCGCTGGAGTGACACTGCTCCAAGCCGAGGAACGCCAGGGCCAGCACTAGCTGGAGAGGGGCGATGGGGGCGGGATGAGGAATCCTTACCTAGGACCTAGGGGAGAGCACGGCACTGCTGCCACCTGGATGTTGGATCTGTCTTGAGCCATCACATTTATGGCAACTCATCCTGGCAGCCTTGGGGAACGAATGCATTAACCCACTGCGTCCGTGACCAAAATAATACCCTGACTCGTGTCCTGAGGCAGCCTCCTGCCTATTAGACCCTACCTCTCATTCCTTTTTTATTTTTATTTATTTGTTTGAGGCAGGGTCTCACTCTGTTGCTCAGCCTAGAGTGCAGTGGTGTGATCATGGCTCACTACAGCCTTGACCTCGGGGGCTCACGCGATCCTCCCATCTCAGCCTCTCAAGTAGCTGGAACTACAGGTGCGTGCCACCCTGCTCAGCTACTTTTTGTCTTTTTTTTTTGTAAAGACAGGGTTTCACCATGTTGCCCATGCTGGTCTCAAACTCCTGGGTTCAAGCGATCCTCCTGCCTCAGCCTCCCAAAGCACCGGGATTACAGGTGTAAGCCCCTGAGCCCGGCCTCTCCTTCCTTTTCATCCTCCCCCTCCCCTCTCTTCCTGGGCTTTCCTCCCTCAGGCCTGCTGCGTTTCGTCCCTTCCATTTTCTTTCTGCTTCTTTTTCCCAGCTGCTCCCTCATCATGCCGGGGGACTCCTGGGCTCCGTGCCACGCCCCTGGAAGTCCCCCATCATGAATGCAGGATTCATGCCTCATACTTCACCGTGGGAGAGCAGAAACCTCTCACTTGAAGCAAAAGGCACTGAAAATAAGCACATAGCTATGCACCTGTCACTACCGCGTCCCAGCGGGCTTCCACCTCACCCCCAGCCCCACCATCTTCTTGCTCGTTCAGGTCACTGTGTCCTCTGACACCCAGTCATCGTCATCATTTCCTACATGCATTTCTGTTGGTCTTCTGAGAATTCTGATTTTCCAAAGTAGAAAGGGCACATCATCTTTCCAGAGCCTGGATGGTGCAGGCACTGACGTGCTGGGGGAGGCCACAGTGTGACACGGACGTGGGGGAAGGGGAAAGTGTGTCACCCCACTTTCTACCAACCTTCAGCAGCGGGGACTGAGCAGAGGTGACAGAACCTGGGAGGAAGAAGAGATTTCCAGTTACCTCCTTCCTGGTCCCTTCATTGGAGCCTGTTACTCCTCTGCTGCTGGGGCCTCTGTGTTTCTCCCAGAGCCAGGAAAGAGCTTAGTGAATAAAGAACGAGGTGTCCTAGCAGTGCATGGAAGATGTCCATGACAGTGAATGTGAAGAAGGGTCCTGGAGAATGTCCACGGCAGCCCTGCAGGAGAATGTCCATGGTAGCCCCAAGGTAGAATGTCCACGGCAGCCCCGTGGGAGAATGTCCATATCAGCCCTGCAGAAGAATGTCCACACAGTCCTGAGGGAGAATGTCCATGCAGGCCCTACAGCCTGGTGGGCTCTGCAGTCAGCCCCCAAAACCATTCATCAGTCACCTTTGGAATTGCATGTGCAAAGCCCTCTTTTTGTGTCCTTTGAATTTTTTTTATGAGGCTGGGCGCATGACTCAGGCCTGTATTCCCAGCACTTTGGGAGGCCGAGGAGGGAGAATCACTTGAGCCCAGGAGGTCAAGGCTGCAATGGGCTATGATCATACCACTGCACTCCAGCCTGGGTGACAGAGGGAGACCCCATCTCTACAAAAATTTAAAAATTAAAAAAAAAAAAACTTTATTAAAGAAATACATGTGCAAATAATATCCAAAGGCTTATTTTCAAAAGTCCCCTGTCCCAGCTGACCCCCACACCTGTCCTCCTCCCTTCTGAGGCCACCAGTTTGAGCTTTTTGAGGTATTCACCTCTGCTTTTCTAAATGCGCTTGCTCTGCTCTTTCTTGACGGATCCATCTGAGACATCAGCTCTTTGCCCTGTGCTGTGGTGCATCAGCTGAGCTCTTACCCACCACACTCCCTGTTCCTCCTCCTCCCAACAAGACACTAATACAAATAGGAAGGGGCTCTTATTTCTGGGGCTCTCACTAGGCATCAGGCACTGTCACATTCTGACAGGGCTCCACACTCCCTCCCTCTGGTTCCTCCCTCGAAGTCACCTTCACAGGGTCTGTCCCTCTCCACGCCCTCTGAAGGACGGGGCACCCGGGCTCAGTCCTCCGACCTCTCTTCTCTCCCTGCCAGCCCTTGGTGGTCTCACCAGTCTCGTGGTTCTGCATAGCCTGCCTGTGCTGACGGCTCCAAGCCCCACCTCCAGCCCTGACCCCAGGCCTGCAGAAGACAGAAGCAGCATGGCGTCCTGCGGTCAGGATGGGGCTGGCAGATGGAAGTCCTCGTCTACAGCTGGCCCTGCCACCTCCCAGGAGTGTGGCCTGTTCACTTCTCCAACTCTAAATAAACATTCTGCCTTCTCTGCACAAACGCTCTTTCTGCCCTGTGGATTTACTATGAGA